TGATAATCTACTAGCGTTAAGAGTTCCGTTAAGTGATTTTACTGACCGCTTTAAAACAAACCCAGTTATTGATTGTAGCGCCCCAACTATTATTCACACGGGCTTAACATTGAATAATGAAACAATAAATATATCACCGACTACTGGGTTATTATTTAGTAATCAAACAGGAGGAGGAGATAAAGTAGTAAGTGTGTTTAAAAACGCTACTAATTATATAACTTTACAAGGAAATAAAATTGTGTCAAATGCTACATCTGATGACAGTGTTGTAGATTTAGAATTAAACCCGTCGGGAAATGTTAACATTACTAATGATTTATCATTAACTAATTTAACAGCAGACGGAATTAGTCTAACTAATAATATTAATATTGGTGGTAGTATTGAATTAACTGATGGTAACACAAGCATAGAAAGATACAACAACGCTACGAAATCAAATATATCAATGGATTTGAGAACAGACCAAGAGGCAATGAGATTAATGTTAGGAGCATCCACAGACACAGACACTAATACCTATATTGAATGTAACAATACAACAGGAGGAACAACGTTGTTTAACCCAACATATTTTAAAGACACTGTAAATTATGAAAACGACACTTCTAATATTTCCAATAATTCAGGACTTACACTTTATAAGAATACAACAGACGCCAGTAATGTTTTAACGGTAAAAAATGCTCAAGGTTATATAAGATTTAATTCATTTAATATTAATGCATATAACACGAGTAATGACAGTTCTTCTTTACTTTTATTGAATACAGCAAATGGTAATGGTGTTTATTGCTTAAGTTTAGGTATTGGAGTAATCCAAGGATCAAATAAGTTAAATGTATCGGGAGGCAATGCTAATTTTGGTGGCACATCATCATGTCAAAATATATCAACATTTAATAGTGATATTTATATTAATAATTCCGGTAGAATATTTCAAAGAGCGGACGTTAATAATTCATTAAACGTAATATCAACTAACGAAATTAATTTTTCATTACAATCAAATAGAGCAACCGACCCTACAACAGGAACAATAGCATTACAACTAAACGACACTAACGGAATTACTATTAATAGAGCAGTTACAAATAATCAAACATTTAATAGTATTGGTAATATCGTTGGTGAGGCAGATGTTATTAGTTGGGGGCGCTTTATGTTTCAAAATAGTAGCGAATTAAAAGAAGTTTTAGACACTCAATATAAGTTATATATCAGAAATGGAGACACGGCGGGCGAAATGAATTTAACAATAGGCTTGGAAAGTAGCACACCAGAAATTCAGTTGACAGACGGAAAGGTGAATTTATTAGGTAATTTGGAGATAACACACACTGATGTATCAGGGTCGCAACGAGTATTAATAAATAATCCAGATACTGATGGATTTATTAGATTAAGCAATAACAATTTATCAAGATTAGATGCCACAAATACAGGCGTTGATGTTTACGGTTTCTTTACTACAACAAATAACGCAGATATTGGAGGAACTCTAACCTGCACCGCCTTGATTGAAACATCGGATTTTAAATTAAAAGAGAATATTAAAGAAGTGAATACCAAAGACTGTTATAGTGTAGTTAAATACATTAAACCGAAAACCTTTAATTTTGCCAAGGACGAAGATAAAAAGAGTAACCTAGGATTTATAGCCGACGATGTGAAAAATGCTAAACTGCCCCCTGAATGGGATAACATAATCTTTTATAATGATGATGGTATGAAACTATTAGCATACAATAAAATGACAGTTATCTTGTGGGGAGCTGTGCAAGAAATGCAAAAAGAAATAACGTCTTTGAAAGGCGAATTAACAAAGTTGAAAAAGAAGATGAAACATGATAGCGATTAAAAATATTTTATCTAAGCTTAATATATATTCTATCATGGTAAAAAAATAATATATTTGTAAATGTGGATTAAAGAGATCATCGCCTGAAACAGAAGAGGAAAATATGCAACATATTAACACAAAAGAACATCAAAAGTTAGTGGAAACTCGTTATAATGCTAATCCGAAATTCTGGGAGAATGTATATAGAAAGCAGAATAAAAGATTAGAAAAAAGATAAGTATTATTATATGGGTTCTACATCTTCTAGATCTTCTGCTACTGAAAATATGAAACAAATAAAAGAACTAGATATTAATGAAAAAACAAGAACAGATATGTTGTTATTTAATACTTTGAAAGATGTTATTGAAAGAGTTGAAAGGTTGGAAGAAACAAAAAGCGATAAAATATATTACAAGTTGCCACCTGTCACATTGTGTAATTATTCAATAATATAATTAATAGATATAAATCATTGAAATAGTTTATATTTATTAATCATTTTTAACTTCATTATTCGTCCTTTCTTGGAAACCATCATAACCATTTCTATTATTGTTTCTTCTTCTTTCTCTGATATTCCTTTCTGCCCTATATTCACAATAAGAATAAAATGGAATGAAGAAAGGCAATATGATAGGATAAAAAGGAATTAGTGCACAAATAAGTAATTTATCACCTGTTGAAAGTCCGTTTTCAGCCATTATTACTTAATGATATAATACCTTTAAATAATTAATCTAAACTGTCCCATGAATGGGATAACGTAACCTTTTTATAATGACGATGATATCAGTCACCTATTTCAAAGCGTTGTTCAAAGTTAATGAAGAACATATTACTAACATCTTTAGCGTTGGTGTTTATGTAGAAGAAGGAGTAAGGAGCAAAATTCACGGCTTTCTGATACATTTCATATAAAGTGCTTTTATCCACCAAGGCGGAATTCTCTTCCAAAAATGCGTTGACTTCGTTCATGTTCTTGAGCCTGAAGATGAATAAAGCACTGGCATTTAATCTAATGATAGGAGCCAATACATTATACTTCTGAGTAGATAAAATGCACGAGATGGCATTATGGCGCCCTCTCGTAAATAATCCGTGTAACAAGCTTGAGTATCTTACAAATTTGGGATCGTCGGCAAAATCATCCACCACTAACAGAATGCTAAACAGATCCTTTTGTTTGTTCTTCTTCTGAAAATCAATTACTCTATGTTGGGTGTCTATGATCTTCTTTAGCGCCACCGGATCGTATTCCTCGTAGTAAAGCTGTTCTTTTTCGGCGTCCACCTTCATTACATCGCTTATGTATTTCTTCACTGCCGACCATGTGTCATCCACATGAACACTGGGCGAGAATATGTATATTCTCTCAAAGGATCCTCTGTAAATTTTTAATATCAAGTTCTGTATCAATACTGTTTTACCGCCTGTTGAAGAAGCCACACACAACATCCGCGCGGGTAGCTTCGGCATCATGTCAAACTTGCTGTTTTTATATTTATATTCGGGTATGTCTATCGGTTCTACTTTAGGTATTTCTTCACTCATTAACTAATAAGAGAAAAATATCTTTTAATATAATGGATAAGTATTTAGAAACGATAGAGGAGATTGAAGAAATTGAGAAGATTGTAATACAAGACACCAAGCTTAAAAGGTGTTGCACCGCTTCTTTAGAATTGCTTAAAGCAGTTCTTGAGTATTTAAAAAAATCTAAGCAAGGTTAATGAGCGATAAAAAATCAAACGAAGGTGGCTTCCACTTAAACACGGATGGATTAAACTGTTTGCCTTGCAAGTGTAGGAAGAAGACTTTTCACAAAGAGACTAAGATAAACACCGAAGGTAAAACAATCATTGAAGATAGGAGTTCTTGGAAGGTTGGCGGTAGAGGAGTTACTCCAGACGAAAATGAAATATTTAAAACTAACGCGCAAGATAATGAAGGTGTTGATACGGTTTCTACCGGATGGGGTTCAAGAAAGCCAACCCCAGAAGAGAGATTGGAAAAAGTGGAGGAGGATGTTGAAAGGATAGACAAAGATGTAACTATTTTAAAGAATAATTTAAATATGATGGATTAGGATTTAAAAAATATTTTCTATGGTAACTTGACAGTGTATAGTTCCCCCTGCCCAGACATCTAGAAGAAAATCAGGTCCCATTGCTCCCGTGTGATGAACAGTTTCATAAGCACACCATAAGAGTGTGGAAATGATATGAATTCGTAATTAGTTTCATTAAATCTTAAGGAAAAAATCTTGTTATAAATAGTTGTATTTATAACAATATTCTGACATATAATATTAAGAATGCCAGTAAGAGTAAATAAGATATTAGTTGATTTTGATCCATACACTGAAACAGTTGATGTTGTTACCAGGAAGTGTTATCGTTGTAAGCAAGTCAAAGACATAGATTGTTTCAAACGAGTGTATGTAGCTAGTAAGAAACATTACAATAATTGTTCTGTTAAATATATCTTGACTTGTTCAGAATGTTTAGATAATCATTCTATAGAGAAATGCCCATAAGGCAAACTATTAACACTATCTATATAGTATCTCTTATTGTCAAAGCTTGACAGTGCCTGTTTCACTTGATTTATTGTATAAATGTTATGATTTTTACTCCTTATACTGTTAAACTCAACTTTATCGGATCTGTTTTCCTTCAGTGTCTCTTCATATTGTTTATAATTCAGTTCTTTCTTGACTTTGTGCTTCACTATTCCTTTTGATTTTTTCTCTTCCTTCTCTTGGTTATACACCTTAAAGGCATACGATTTAGGCTTTAACCCTATGAAGTGGGTTATTATCTTGCCGTCGCATTCATCTTTAAATTTTCCTAATACTTTCTTGTTAGTAGGATCATAACATTTATGGCTCTTGTCATAACCACTGAAGTCCATCTGATCGCCGATCTCCTTTAAATCATCATACACATCTTCCGTTTTAATATGAACTACGAAGCTGTCTGTGTCGGTGTATGCCAACCTGACCTTTTCACCCCTAATCGCCGATTAGATGCCCCTAAATCTAAAAGGTTATGGTGTCTAATCTGAAAAGCGCCCCCTGCCTAATCTGAAAAGTCAGCCCGTCTAATCTGAAAATGCTCCCCCACCTAATCGCCGATTGAGCCCTCCCGCTTCACTTGGACGGTTTCATTTGAACGTCCTCCTTCTTTGCGATCGTCATCAAAAGCTTCTCCGACAAAGATGCCCACGAAATATTGGTGTTTGCGTCTGCAAACTCGGAGCAAACAAACAGGTAGATGGTGTGGGTCAGCATCTCCTTGGCTTTGTTGTGCTGATACTCCATCTCCTCCAGCTTTGCATGGATGCTCTCATAGGAGATCTCACTCATCAGACGGCAACGTTCGAAGGGCTTAGCCGATGATGCCACCACCTCCGTGTTGATGCGGACGAGTGCCTCCTTGTTCAAGGAGTTCATCAGCATTTCGGCGAGATTGGGGGTCTTGCTCTTGATGTGACCTACTGCCTCCTTGGCGATGTTCTTTACCTGCTCCACCACAGGCGACGCCGAACCAGCGAAGCTGATGCGGTGGATGTTGTTGTTGATCTCCTCCAAGCACTCCTTGATGGACATCGCCTTTGTCTTCGCTCCTGCCGACCCAGCCGCCTAGGCTTGTTTATGGTTTAGGGTTTAGCGATGTGGGTTTTAAGGTTGTTTTAACATAGGTAAAATAGGGAAACAATAGTAAAGGCACTCTCTTGCCGCCACCCGCCAAGGAAAACTTCACAGTGATGCGACTGCCCTCGCACAAGTCCTTGTAGTAGGCAATCGTTCTGCGAGGAACTTCCGTCACATTGATGGTATCCAAGTAAAGGCTCATTTTCTTCGTGGCCTTCTTGCTCATGCCCATCAACTTTGTCCCAACCAACAAGCGGAACTCCCCAGTCGTCATGCCCTTGCTCAACTCAAACTGAACCACCGTGGCATCGGGCAAGACAAGGGACACCTTGAAGGTCTGCTCCTTCTCCTCCTTGACCAGCTTTGCTTTCTCCTCCTTGTCTTTGGCTTTCTTTGCATCACGGGCGCGCTTCTTCTTCAAGACCTGCAACTTCTGGTCAGCCTTTTTCATCGCAACCATCATCTTTGCATACCACTCGTAGCGCTCCTTGATGGTTGCCCTTGCATCCTCACCGGACTCCAACATGGTAATCACTTCGGAGTCGTAGAAGAAGTCCTGCGGGTTCTCTGGGACCATGTTTGAGCATTCTGCTAGGATGTCGGCCTCATCATCATCTGGGTCGTCGCGGTCGTCCTTTTTCTGCTTCTCCTGCTCATTGGGGGTTGTTGGCTCTTCCTCCTCCGTGGTCTCACCCTCACTGTCGCTCCCATCGGTCTCGCCCTCCGACGAAACCACAGGCTCAGGAATGGGGGCCTCGCCCTCAACATAACCCGCTACCGCGTCGGATGACGAGGCCATCTCTGAAGCAATAGGTGGAGTTAGGAATGTCGAAAATGCTGAAAGCAAAAGAGGCTTTCATAAATCAACGTTGCTCAACGTCTTTGCTTCTTCAACGTGCTCACACAATGGACATGGAAACTGACAATCGTTTCACTCGCTCAGGAATAAACATGTCGGTCGCGCCTTTTGAAGATGATGAAGATGAAGTCGGCGTGTGTCGTCAGAGGTGAATACGAAGAAACCACCCTAAAACCCCAGAAAGACCACAAAATTTAACCAATGGCTAACCCGAAGCTCTACAATCATGGCTTTATGTTAGGCTTTTCTATGAACCGCCTAACTAAAGCCCAGCTAAGCTTAGAGACAAACCAAGACAAAACGAAGCTAGGGGACAAGTCAAAAAGTGTTGGGGAAGTAAGAGGGGGGAAAAGTGAAAACGAGAGAGGAGCGACAAATACTTAAATGAGAGTATGGGATCCTGGGGAGTGAGAGAAAAACGAAGGAGTGGCCAAGATTGACGAAGAGAAGCGAGAAAACGAATGAGACACGCTTTTAAGAAAACGAAGCAGAGACCCAACGAATGAAACAGACCCCAGAGGAGGAAAATAAGAAACGAAGAAGGCGACAAGGGCAGAGAACAAGTAGGATACAGTGATGAAAAACAACAAATGAAGCAGACACGACAACATACAACGACCAAGCCCCAAAATCCCCCTTTTAACAATTTTTTGGGGGGGCGATCGGCGTACAACTGCGGCAATACACCGATACACCGATACACCGACCCGGGGTGGGGGGGGGGGGGGGACGATCGGCGTAAACCAGCGGCAATACACGGATACACCGACCGGGGGGTGGGGGGGGGCGATCGGCGTAAAAATTGCGGCAGTACACCGATACACCGATACACCGACCCGGGGGGGGGGGGATCGGCGTAAAATTGCGGCAATACACCGACGCGATCGGCGTAAAATTGCGGCAGTGCACCGATACACCGATACACCGACCCGGGGGGGGGGGGGGGGATCGGCGTAAAATTGCGGCAACACCGACCGGGAAGCAGGACTACAGCAATCAAGGCCCAGGAAATTCTGGGCCTTCATTGTCCGCTAGTTCTGCACAGATACATCGAGGGGGCCTTGTGGCAGACAGAAGACAGGGCAAGACAGGGAGGGGAAGGGAGGGGGAAGGGATCCGGCGGGGTAAATCGGGGGGGGGGGGGGTCGCGTATCGGCGTGGAGGGGATCGGCGTATCGGATCGGCGTATTTCCGGGGGGGGGGGAATCGGCGTATCGGCGTATTAGCGTATGGGAGGGGGGGGGGGGAACGGCGTAACGGGGGGGTACCGGCGTAACGGCGTATTGGCGTATGGGAGCGGGGGGGGAACGGTGTATCGCGTATTAGCGTATGGGGGGGGGGGTACCGGTGTATCGGCGGAACGGCGTAATCGGCGTATTGGCGTATGGGAGGGGGGGGGGGGTAACGGCGTAACGGCGTGTTTCCACATGCTGTGGGGGGGGGGGAAAGGGGGAGACGGCGTACTACTACGGGGGGGGGGGGGGGGATCGGCGTATCGGCGTAGGGGGGGGGGTCAGCGTATCGGCGGAATGGGGGGGGGGGGGTTCCGGCGTAACTGCGTAACGGCGTAAATCGGTTTTCGCCCCTATTTGCATGCACGCTGGAATGTTCGTTTGTGGTGGTTGGATAATTTCCGCGCGTCTCGGTGTGTGTTCAGAGCACGGAAGAGGTGTTCCATGCTCTCCAACTCAATGTCCTCCCCCTCATGCATGCAGTAGGAGTGCTGTTGTTCATCCAGCCATTTAATCACCTGGCCCATTGGTGCAAGATCACGTTTTTTATTGTTCATTCATTCTACTGTACCATGCACAGATCCGCCCATTACAACCCCACAACACTCTTTAACCCTAAGCCCTAAAGCCTCACATCCCCAAGACCAGGCTTTCAGGGTTTCGGATGTCAGGAAGCCGGGAGACGCGACCACAGCCGAGACCCTGAGAAGAGTTGCCAGTCGTCCTCGGCCGAAGGCCCAGGGCTGGCGCTGTGATGGGCTTAGGGTTGAGGGTTTAGGGCTTAGGGTTGAGCGCTTAGGGGTTATTTTTGGTCTATGCGGGGTAGTAGGGTCATCAGGAATACGAGCACCGGAACTTGCGGAAACTTCCTTGGCAATCCTGCATCAGAACTCCCCAACACATCCGAATCTTTGGGGCACTCCTACCCTAAACCCTAGGCACTATAACCCCCTAACAATAGTAGCAGGTTGCCCTTGTGACGACCTCTGGGAGCACAAGTGCGATGTTCAAGGACACGCATTCTGCTTTCTGAAGATTCAGGCATGTGCCTTGGAAGCGAGCCACGAAGGGCCATTAGGGTTTGGGGCTTTGGGCTTTGGGTTTTGGGGTAGAATGGCCCCGGAAGCATATCTTTCTGAAAAGACAAGGGCTCTTGTCCAAGCAAGCCACAGCATACGCCAGTGTTCAAGTGAAACAGGCCCCTTCAAACCTCTCAACCTTAAACCATGCGTGTCCCCTCTCCCTAAACCCTAAACCATGTCCCTCCGCAAAATCCACGCGGCCAAAGGGCCACCAAAAGGCATGGCAGGCCCAAGAGGCATCATCCAAAAAAAGGATCCGAAAACCTTAAACCCTAAACCCTAAATTCCCACCCAGGCTTTTCTAGGGCGCCTGGACCCAGAACTACATCCGGCAGCCATTCACACCATCGCTTGGAGCCACGATGCAAGCCTAAAGAGTTGTGGCAGTTCCAGTGCCAATGCAGTACCCCGATTGGGGTACCCTTCAGACGCCCTAATACGTCCAACGACTTTCTGGGCCTTGACATCCCTTGACTGATCCCTGGCCCTCCGCCCCCTGCCTGGCTGCCTGCCATCCTGCCCCACCCTTTCCTGGCCCCTGGTCCATCCTCTGACCAGGCCGCTGAACCTTCTAAACTCACTTAAGCCCTCAAATGAATCTGCTGAAAGAACGGGGATGGGAAGTGGGAATTCAGGGCGTTAGCCCGAAACCCTAAAAGGAGAAAACTTTGGGTGGATGCCTGCGTAAGCAGGGGGTGGGACGAGCAAACCAACCCAGCCTTGAACGTTTCCGTCAGCCCAAGTCCTCTAGAATTTCCATGAAAGCCTACTCCTCAACAACCCGAAACCCCGAACCCTGAAACCCTAGTGGTTGTCCCAAAGAGGCTCGCGGGTAGCCGAAGCCGAGGTCCGCTAAATTGCCAGTCAGCGGTCTGCCAGCATGCTTCGGGTACCTCGGCTTCCTTTTTGGGGTGTTTAGGGTGTAGGGTTTAGGGTTTAGGTTTTGGTTGAGGGTTCATAGTGTATGCAGATGTGTACAGGGTTTTTGTAGGGTAGCCGTGGCTTTTATAGGTGTGAAAAGCGCGCTTAGAAGGATTAAAGGGGGTTTTGGGGATGATGTTTGGCCCAGCGGACGATGAGGGGCCCTTCAGCTTCCTTTGCAGATGGGTTCCTCGCTTCAAGCCTTCAACCCGTGATTGACTGTGCCTTGAAGTTGTTCTTCTTGGTTGCTCTAGTTTTGAGAACTTCACTGACTCAAGGCGAGAAGCCTAGCCGAAACCCTCAATCTTGACCAAAATACGGATTAAAGTCGAGAGAATTATGGGCCTGAATGCACTAGCGAAATGAGTGAACGAATGAGCGAACTAATGTAAGTGTATGAACAGACTGAGTTCATTACACCTTCATAATAATAAGTTATTGCATGTGACATGTGCCTTTAGAATACCAGCGCTGGGCCAGCGCTGGCTCGATGGCCATGGGGGCCAGAGCTGGGCCAGCGCTGGCTCGCTGGCCAGGGGGCTAGCGCCGGCCCAACGCTGGCTTGCTGGCCAGCAGTTTCCCAGCACTGGCTCGATGACCAGAGGGTTAGTGTTGGGCCAGCGCTCGCTGGCCAGAGGGCCATTGGCCAGCGCCGGGCCAGCGCAGATTTCCAGCCAGCGCTGGCCCAGCGCCGACCCAGCGCTGGCTCCACCCTGACACGATGCGTAGGCCAGCCTCGGGGCCAGCCGTAGGAGCCAGCGCTGGCGCGATGCGTAGGCCACCCCCCGGGACTCCTGTACCCAAAGAATATGAATATTTATTATCTGGTCTTTTAGGCAATACTCCTATAGTACCAAGAAGCGAATGAATAATAAGACTAATACAGGCCGAAACATAAGAATTACTGGCCCGTTTTTATAGTGTTCACTTCGTGCGCTTACAAACGCATTTCGTGCACACACCTCGTTTACATTAGAATTTTACGGGCGAGTGAACTCTATGATACCCCCGAAAAAAATATCATGAGCGCAAGAAATGAAAGCAAAAGTATTGTAATGTAATGGACGTGCGAAGCGAATAAGATCATAGGCTAGCGCCCGGATGCTACCAATTATATCAGTATTATCTGTAGCTAGATCATATACCCTGTGTTACTTTAAGATTAGGGTACAGCACTCTAAACCCTTTTAGGGTTCATTCAGTCCCCAACACTGAACAGATTATTCTACTGCTTCTCAGAGGCAACAGAAGCTGCCCCAGCACCGCTGGGTGTAGCTGTGAAGACAACGAGCACCGGTGCCTGGACAAGGACGTGGTTTTAGAGTTGAAGGTCGGGGCTGTCATTCGGGCCTTATCAAGCCCTATACGACAGGCCCACTGCTATTGAGTTAGAATGCAATTGTTGATAGTTTTTACGATAAATATGTACGGGCTGTAGGGGAAATGTTGGTAGCAAAGTAGGCTCCTATATTGCGTGCGTGTTCGAGCGTCAGTTCTACGAGCGGATCGTGCTGCAGTGTGGAGGACACCGGGCGGTATGTTTGCTACGCGAAGGTGCGCATTTCGAAGGGCTACCAACCTTCTTGGGGACAAATGAAACCTTCGCTTGGAATCTGCTCCGCTGCAACAATAGACTTCCTATTGAGGCATACCAAAATCATAAAATGAAAGTAAAGGCGGCTGATTGGCGAGGCCAATCAGACTTGGTTCGCTTTAAGCGTCTATGTGGCCAAAGGCTAAGTAGAGTGCGCGTCTCTCCCTTGAGATTGAGCTGTAGAGACGGTTCACCCAAGTTTGCTTTCGCTTTCACTCTGTTCAATCCCCTCCCCCCTCCCCCCTCCCCCCCCTCCCCCCCCTCCCCCCCCCCCCCCCTCCCCCCCCCTCCCCCCCCCTCCCCCCCCTCCCCCCCCTCCCCCCCCCCCCCCCTCCCCCTCCCCCCCCCCCCCTCCCCGCCCCCCCCCACCCCCCCCCCCTCCCCCCCCCCTCCCCCCTCCTCCCCCGCCCCCTGCCCCCCCCTCCCCTCCCTTCCCCCGCCCCAAAAAAATAAAGCGCATAGAGAGAGAGAGAGAGGAGAGAGAGAGGAGAGAGAGAGAGAGAGAGAGAGAGAGAGAGAGAGAGAGAGAGCGAGAGAGAGAGAGAGAGAGAGCAGCACTGAGTGCCCTCCGGGGACAAGCAGGAGAAGGAGAAGGGGCAGCAACGATAGAAGAGGGGGAAGGACACCTGGTGGCAGCGCTTCAATGCCTAGGGCGGGTCACAGGAGAGGAAGAGGAGGAAGAGGGGGGCGAACACGAAAACAACAGCGTCGGCGGCACCACCCCACAGCAACCACCACCACTGCCACCACCAACCACACGGGAACCCGGCCCAGGCGAGGAAGGATACGGGAGCAGCAGCAGCAGGGACGGGGCGGGGGTGGCACAACCGGGCAGGCACGGCAGACTGGTCGAGCCTATCACACGTGCAACGGAAGCGGGGCGTTCTACGCAAGGAGGCCAGCTGCAACCACAAGGGGGGACCACTACGTGGGAAGAGGTGGCGAGACTGGCGGGGCAGGTCTGCCGGGGTTGGGGGGCCCTCACAACGGAGGAAAGAATGCAGGACACAATGACCATCCTGCACCTGGTGAGGCAGGGGAGGAGGTGGCTGGACGCTGTCAAGAGGACCAGCAACTGGGAGCTACAAAGCATGGCTGAAAGCAAGGCAGCAGAAGCAGAACAAGCAGCCCTACTAGCACTCAGTTACCCCAACCACCACCAGGCAGCTGGCCAGATACAACACGTGCAACATCACGCAGAAGCATGTGTGGGGGCGGAGGCCATTGCGCTAGAAGTGACGCTCAACACTGGGGAGAGTGAACAAGCAAGCGAAGGGGTACACCCGGCAGACGCGATTAGCCTGGCAGCGGGGGGGGAGGAGGCGGCACCGGCTGGGGATAGGGGGTGGCTGCAAACGGGGGGACACCCAGCAATGCGAGCGAGAAGCATTCTCCGGCATCTGCTGCCCTTCACCGGCGGGGAGGTCCGACAACAAGTACAAGCGGCGCTCGGGGCCCTGGATGAGTGGAGCACCGAGCTATGGGGGGGAGAACTCCTGGCGATCGAGGACACGCTTGGGAACAGCGGGGAGGAGATGCACCCACCACCACCACCGCCCACACACCACGCAGAAGGGACAGGCAGGGGGACAGATGGAGGCGACGGGGGCAGGGGAAGGGGGCACGTGGAAGAACATCGCGAGCTGCCGCCACCCGAAGAAGAACTACATGATCGTGACAATGGCAGGGACACCGAGACGGAGATCTGCGACCTGGAGGGAGGAGTGGAAGGGGGGCGCTGCAATGCACTGCCGACCACACCGGGGGCGGGGGGGCCGAGCACCCAAGCAACCGTTCCGTGGAACCCACCACCGCCGCTGAGCTACACGCTGACGCCGGCCCAGTTCGAAGGGCCAGTCCGCAGGAGGGGGGAGGCGCAAAGAGGGGAGGCAGCAGCAAGGAGAAGGTCGAAGCAGCGAAGGCGCCTTGGATGGGGACAAAGAACCCGACGATCACGTAGCGGGGGGCCACCATTCCGCAGACGAGTGACACGCAGTAGTGGTGGGACTCCCAGCAGAAGACGTGTTGGGGGACTACCAGCAGGACAAGCACTACTGAGTCTACCGGATGAGCACAGGCGTAGACGCGAGCATGCGGGGCTCGAGTAGAACTAACTGGGGGCTGTAGCAACGCCTTGGGAGGGTCTTGCTTAGGTTCTGGTTTGGGGCTTGTAACGTGTTATGGCAACAACCCCGATGATGAGCCCGAGCCCGAAATGCCAACTCAAAGTCTCACCCTTTCACAGTGATCCCAGAGGTACCCCGGGAACTTAGAGGGGGCTTTGCTTGTCGGTCAAGTTCTCCGGTTCAGGGTCTGGGGGCCTGTTTGCTGTTGTCGAGGGGTCCAGGATCACTAGTCTCACGCTCAACCAGGTACCGGGGTGTCGAGCAGCCAACCTACTCTAACCGGTCACAGGGGGAAGAGTGAGGAAAAGGGGGGGGGGGGGCTGAACGGTTGGCAGAGTACACCCGGGCACCGGCCACCGACCACTTCCACCCCGAAACAGGGGCGGGCATAGATGCCCGGGGCGCAGACCCCAAGCCCCTAGAAAGAAAGAAAGAAAGAGAGAGAAAGAAAGAAAGAGAGAGAAAGAAAGAGAGAAAGCGAGAGAAAGTGAGAGAAAGTGGAGAGAAAAGAGAGAGAAAGAGAGAGAAAGAGAGAGAAAGAGAGAGAAATGGAGAGAAATGGAGAGAGAGGAGAGAGAGGAGAGAGAGGAGAGAGAGGAGAGAGAGGAGAGAGAGGAGAGAGAGGAGAGAGAGGAGAGAGAGGAGAGAGAGAGAGAGAGAGGAGGAGAGAGAGAGAGCGAGAGAGGAGAGAGAGAGGAGAGAGGAGAGAGAGAGAGAGAGAGAGGAGAGAGAGGAGAGGAGAGAGGAGAGAGGAGAGAGGAGAGAGGAGAGAGGAGAGAGGAGAGAGGAGAGAGAGAGCGAGGAGAGAGAGAGGGAGGGAGAGAGGGAGGAGAGGAGAGGAGAGAGAGAGAGGAGAGAGGAGAGAGGAGAGAGGAGAGAGGAGAGAGGAGAGAGAGAGAGAGGAGAGAGAGAGGAAGAGAGGAGAGAGGAGCGAGAGGAGAGGAGAGAGGAGGAGGAGAGGAGAGAGGAGAGAGGAGAGAGGAGAGAGGAGAGAGGAGAGAGAGAGGAGAGAGAGAGAGAGAGAGGAGAGAGGAGAGAGGAGAGGGAGAGGAAAGGGGGGGAAGAGAGAGAGGGAGAGGGGAGAGGGGAGAGGGGAGAGGGGAGAGGGGAGAGAGGAGAGAGGAGAGAGGAGAGAGAGGAAGAGAGAGGAAGAGAGAGAAATGGAGAGAAATGGAGAGAGAGAGAAGAGAGACGAGAGAAGAGAGAAGAGAGACGAGAGACGAGAGACGAGAGAAGAGAGAAGAGACACGAGAAAAGAGAAAAGAGAGACGAGAGACGAGAGAAGAGAGACGAGAGACGAGAGAAGAGAGAAAAGAGAGAAGACAGAAGAGAGAGGAGAGGAGAGACGAGAGAGAATAACCAAACACTGAACATAACCAGTACTTCCAATAGAAACAGTATTCTGATAGCTCCTAAAACCTGAAACTTGAAACCCCGAAGGCTTGGTACGATGGCTGTCCGAAGGTGTGCACGGAGAGCCAGCTAAGATGCACCTTGCTGAGTTTGGTAACCTTTTAACTTTTAGTATCTTTTCTCCAGGCTTATGCTTCCGGTTTGGGTTTTTGGGGCTTAGGGGCTATGAAAGGTTATTTTTTGCCCTTATCGTCCAAAGCTTAGCCACAATAACTTTGTCAGTAAGGCACCATGACCTACTTCGAGGGAGGCTCGCAGCATCCTGGCGCGGGGATGATAGTTGAGGGTTTCAGGGTTTCGGGAAGGGTTTAAAGGTTTACTGTTGAGGGTTCCTGGGTTTAGGGTATCTTGGTAGCCCAGTGGTACCCTTTTGCCCTGTTTTGGTTTGAGGTTCCCTGAAAAAAGCAACCACCCCCCCAAAAAGGGCACTCTTATTGTAATATGGGAAATCAGGGGCTTGGGGAAAAGGATTTCTCAGATGGGGCTAGGTCAGGCTTTCGACTCTATGCTGAACCCCAAAGCCCTAGACCCTAAACTCAAACCCCCCACAAACCCTAAACACTGCAAAAGCAAATCCCCTGGGTTTAGGGTTTAGGGTTTAAGGTTCAGGGTTCAGCACCCTAAACCCTAAAACCGGAATTCAAGGTATGTCATGCAGGATTGCTTCGATTCTACCGCGTGCCCAAGCTTGTGGTGCGACGAGAGCACGGCCAAAATGTGCCTCTTCTCAAGACCCCTTTTCTACGGGTTTCGGGTTTTAGGGTTTTGGGTGTTAGGTGCTGACTCTTTCTATTGCCATATAATATAGTACAATATAATATAAGTATAATATTTAATGGCTACCGCCAGTGCCGCCGACCCCCAACTCTAAACCCTAAACCCCAAACCCCAAACCCGAAACCCGAAACCCGAAACCGGAAACCAAACCCTAAACCGTAAACCGTAAACCCGAAACCCTCAACATGGGGGGGGGTTGCGGTAGTTCAGGGTTTTTTGATATTCAGGGCACTGGTCGTCATTGCCTCGCTGTAAATGCATCCATGAGGTGTGGGTGGTGGGAGCCATGTGGGATCATGGGGCCATGAGCCATGGGTGCCAGGGGGTCGAGGGCATGGGGGCCATGCGATGGACATGGGAAGGGTGCATGTGGGGGGGGGGTGAGAGCGGGGAGGGCGGAGCGGGCGGGCATGCATTGGGGTGGGGAGAGCGGGGAGGGCGGAGCGGGCGGGCATGGATTGGGGCCCTTTCAAGTCATCTGATAGGGGCAGGGGGTCACGGGGCCATGGGAAGCGTGCATGGAGGGGGAGGGTGTGTGGGTGGTGGCAGCCATGTGAGACATGGGGCCATGAGCTGGAGCCCCTAAAGAATGCCAAAACGTGGCAGCCATGTGGGATCATGGGACCATAAGCCATGGGTGCCAGGGGGTCGAGGGCATGGGGGCCATGCGATGGACATGGGAAGGGTGCATGGGGGGGGGGTGAGAGCGGGGAGGGCGGAGCGGGCGGGCATGGACTGGGGCCCTTTAAAAGTGGTGGTGGGAGCCATGTGGGATCCTGGGGCCATGAGCTGGAGCCCCTAAAAGAATGCCAAAACACCCATGAGGTGTGGGACCATGGGTAGGAGGTCGAGGGCATGGGGGCCATGGAATGGAGGGGCGGAGGGGGCGGGGAGATGGGGTGGGGAGAGCGGGGAGGGCGGAGCGGGCGGGCATGTATTGGGGCCCTTTCAAGTCATCTGATAGGGGCATGGGGCCACGGGGCCATGGGAAGGAGGGTGTGTGGTGGCAGCCATGTGAGACATGGGGCCATGAGCTGGAGCCCCTAACAGAATGCCAAAACATCCATGAGGTGTGGGTGGTGGGAGCCATGTGGGATCATGGGGCCATGAGCCATGGGTGCCAGGGGGTCGAGGGCATGGGGGCCATGCGATGGAACGGGCGGAGCGGGCGGAGTGGCGGAGAGAGCGGCAAGACTGGGCCCGGGGTCGAGAGCATGGAGCGGGGTCGAGGGCATGGAGCCGGGGTCGAGGGCATGGGGGCCATGGGGCCATGAGCCATGGGTGCCAGGGGGTCGAGGGCGTGGGGGCCATGCGATGGACGGGAAGGGGGTGAGAGCGGGGAGGGCGGGGGTCGAGGGCATGGAGCCGGGGTCGAGGGCATGGGGGCCATGGAATGGAGCGGGCGGAGCGGGCGGAGGGGGTGGGGAGAGCGGGCACGGGGCCACAGGGCCATGGGAAGCGTGCATGGGGGGAAGGGGTGGCTAAAAAGAATACCAAAACACCCATGAGGTGTGGGACCATGGGTGCCAGGAGGTCGAGGGCATGGGGGCCATGGAATGGAGCGGGCGGAGCGGGCGAAGGGGGCGGGGAGAGCGGGCACGGGAAGGGCGCATGGGGGGATGGGGAGAGCGGGGAGGGCTGAGCGGGCGGGCCTGTATGGGGCCCTTTCAAGTCATCTGATAGGGGCATGGGGCCACGGGGCCATGGGAAGGGTGCATGGAGGGGGAGGGTGTGTGGGTGGTGGCAGCGCCATGTGAGACATGGGGCCATGAGCTGGAGCCCCTAACAGAATGCCAAAACATCCATGAGGTGTGGTGGTGGGAGCCATGTGGGATCATGGGGCCATGAGCCATGGGTGCCAGGGGGTCGAGGGCATGGGGGCCATGCGATGGAACGGGCGGAGCGGGCGGAGTGGCGGAGAGAGCGGCAAGACTGGGGCCCGGGGTCGAGAGCATGGAGCGGGGTCGAGGGCATGGGGGCCATGCATGGGGCCATGAGCCATGGGTGCCAGGGGGTCGAGGCATGGGGGCCATGCGATGGACATGGGAAGGGTGCATGGGGGAGGGGGGGGGTGAGAGCGGGGAGGGCGAAGCGGGCGGGCATGCACTGGGGCCCTTTAAAGTCATGTGATAGGGGCATGGGGCCACGGGGCCAGGGGAAACGTGCATGGGGGAAGGGGTGTGTGGGTGGTGGCAGCCATGTGAAATCCTGGGCCATGAGCTGGAGCCGGGGTCGAGGGCATGGGGGCCATGGAATGGAGTGGGCGGAGCGGGCGGAGGGGCTGCATGGAGGGATGGGGTGGGGAGAGCGGGGAGGGCGGAGCGGGCGGGCATGGATTGGGGCCCTTTCAAGTCATCTGATAGGGGCATGGGGCCACGGGGCCATGGGAAGGGTGTGTGGGTGGTGGCAGCCATGTGAGACATGGGGCCATGAGCTGGAGCCCCTAAAAGAATGCCAAAACATCCATGAGGTTGGTGGCAGCCATGTGGGATCCTGGGGCCATGAGCTGGAGCCGGGGTCGAGGGCATGGAGGCATGGGGGCCATGCGATGGAACGGGCGGAGCGGGCGGAGTGGCGGAGAGAGCGGCAAGACTATGGGTCTTCACTAGCGCCTCCCCCGCTCAAAGCTGGGGTCGGCGGATAGTATATGATAATCTACGATAATTTAATACCATGTAATACAATATCTATAATATCATACAATATATATATAGTTTACTACTATTTCTTGTCGCTAATTACAACTAGGGGAACAGTTGGCTCTTGACGCTGCGTACTTTCTTTACACATTCCGCGGTAGGGGGACTGTCTTTTTCGGTGCGCCCTCATTTTCATGCACATGCTTCTTGCGTGAGGGCGTGGTTTATTTGTGTGTGTGTGTGTGTGCGCAGTTTCTTTCATGCGGGTGGTTTTGGGGGGTCGGAGGGGGAGGTGACAACGTCCAGTCCCAATTCAACATCTACACTTCACTGGTCGGCTTGAATCGTTCCTGTAAGTTTGGGGTGTTACGCTCTAGGATGTCTGGCTTGTCGGGTTGCACTTCTTCCGCTTTTCGGCTGGGGCTCTGCTTAGGCGCACGCCCGCTCTCCATTTGAATTTGAGGTTTTACCCTAAACCCTAAACCCTAAACCTTCAACCCTAGGTTGAAGGTTGCCCCCCCCCACCCGGCCCCATATATCGTCAAAGCCTCATCAGCCGCACATCCCGACTCCAAAAACATACGGACTCCCTGAGGTGTACTGGGCCGTTCGGGGACATCTGCGTGCCTCGCGATGCCGTTTGTCCCCAGTTCTGCCAGGGACAGAATGTGTGCAATGTGGTGCCTTGCCATTGTTGGTGGGCTCTGCGCTTTCCCTGCGTGCCTGGCAGTCAAACCCCAAAACTCTCTAAGTCCGAAATTGAGCCCTAAAAGAAACCCTAAACCCTATGAACCCCCAAAATTGGACCCCTAGAAACCCTGGAACCCTAAACTCCTCTAAACGCTAGGTTTTGTAAGATAAGCACCTACATACCATAAATTAGGCCCTTGTACCCAGGAGTTGCCGGTGTCACCTTAAGCAAAGTCTCCCGCTCGAAGGGGGTCTCCAGGAGACTCTGTTGTGGGTGTTCTTAGCCTAAATCCCACTTCCATCGTTTGGAGAAGCCAAGGACAACTTCGATGATCAGGGCAGGATACTGGGCTCTTCCACCGTGTGACGCTAGTCTTGGACAGTAAACAAACCAGGTCCCCGACGCAAACTTAGCTGTAGAGGGCTCAACATCAACAACCTTATGCCCACAGAGGGGGAGGGGAGGTACTGGGGTTATAGCTACCCCCATCTTGGGAGAAAGCCTTACTGTGTAAGTTTTTTATGGTTTCGGTAAGAGTGTGTGTGTGTGTGTGTACTTTTTTCAACTGTGGCTCCTGTTAAAACCTTCTAGATTTGCTGAGTGTAGATGTTTGGGGAGACGAGTCAACAAAAACTCCCCCACAACACCATGAACTGCAAAAACCCATTTGGTACTCTCAGGTGTTTCAAAGAACGAGGCGTGCCCCTGCGGAGACAAAGCTGTTCGTTGCGACGAGGGGCACTGCGTTCCCGCGCCATGCTTCAGAATACCCATGTGGCCCTGTGGGGAATGTTCCTTAAATCCTATAAACCTTCAAACCCCAAACCCCAAACCCCAACTTGATCCAAACTCGCACCCCACAGGTTGCAGGCCTGGACTCAGGGGTCGTTTAAAGGGGATTCCGAAGTCCGAGGGCAGAATCTCGGGAAATGAGCCTAAAGCCGGGATCATCCGAATCCCAATCTGGGTATATGGATCCTGGGCCTATAAAAACAAGCCTTCACAGCCCCAAATCCTACACTGCTAGAACCTCTCACTTCCGGTATAATATGGACCCTAGACCCTTTTAGGGTTCGTTTCAAGGCTGTGCTTACGTCAGACTCAGAGTTCCGGCATAGAAAGGGATCGCCGGCGATTAGGTTTCAGGGTTTAGCGTTTGGGGTTTAGGGTTTAGGAAGCCAAGGAAAGCGAGGGATGTCAGACGTGCGACCTCCTGACGCATCGCTGGTGCTACGCCCTGTCTTTCACCATTGATGGTGGGGGGGCCAAGTCCAGAAGAAGCCCGCAGCCGAGCGCTGAGGATGCCTGACCCTGGTGCTTCCAGCTGTGCTGAGGTAACTACAACCCAGCAATTCCCACTGCGGAGAGTTGTGTCCCCTTTTCACAGTCCGCCCCTTAGAGGGTTTTGGGTGGAGGGGAGGGCTGACATGGGGGTGACATGGGAGACTGGTCGGCCAGCGCCTTGTCCCCAGGCCATGCCAGTGTGGGGAGAATGCCCAAGTCTGCAACTGGACCGTGACTTGTCCCTTTTAAGTGGAAGGACCGCCCGTTCAATAGTGAAACTTGCTTCTTCCACACTACGATCCCAAACCGAGGATGCTTCGGGGACTCGAGCTGAGTTGCACCAGATCGAGGGAAGAGTCGGAAACAATGCACCTGTTCACGAGCATGGGGTGACGGCCGAGGCGGCAACAGCAAGAGTGCCTGCCCGCAGCTGATTCCTGCCCTCTCGTTTGTGTGGGCAACAAGACGTGCGTGATTGTCGCCACTCGGAAAATCCACATTGCTGTGTTTTGCGGATCAATTAAGGCTTCTACGACCATGAAGAAATGAACACTACAAAGGGCTTGTGACCCGAATAGGCATTATAGCAGAGGGTAGATGATCCCAATTCTGGAGTTCATGTGGTGTCCAAGGCAAAGGCTAATCCGACTAAATCCACCCGCCGCGATGCAAGGAGCATTTGCTGCAGAGCAAGCTTAAGCCTTAGCTTAGGATTACAATCTCGGTGGCGAGATTGGAGCGGTTCGTGAAGAATGCCAGAGTTCTTCTGATGAAGACTGCCCGTGTGGATCGAACGCTATCAGCTGCATCGATGTGGGGAAGGATGCTGATTTTCCTAGACCTGTCTGGAAATGACCTTCGTGTGTAGGAACCAGGCATGCCACCCCTGGCAATGACCCAAAAGCCCCCGACCAGGACTCGTATTGCCTTCCGCGTCCGACACCCAGCTGTTCCAGCATCGCAGCCCTCGCCTAGGCACGATCACTCTGAAAACCCCTAAACCCGAGAAAACGTGGCAGGGACGCAGCTTCCTGCCTTTGAGCTCTTGGATGGGTGTTCTTAAGGGTGCAAATCGCGCTCTCCCGCCTGGTCCCATGCTCGTTAAGTTCAGGCCGGTCGTCGTCGTTTGGAGACCTTGAAGTGGTCTCTGAAGGTCTTTGTTGATCCTTTTGAGTGCTTTGGGGGGGGGGGTCATATCTAATCTTGGAGTGCTCTTGGGACGCCTTTTTTGAAGTGGTCTTGTGCACCGCCTGGCGGTTCATACACTGGGGGAAGCTATTGCAAGCTCCAGGTTACCAAATCTCCTGAACAAAGCAAGATTGAACTCCTGCATGCTTAATCACCTCCACTTATATTATACGATCATGGGGGGGTATTTAATATTAGGGGATAGGGGGGTTTTGAATATTAGGGGAAGGGGATAGTGTTGTTGAACACGTCAAGTCTATTATGGTGTTTCCCTGTCAATTGGAGAGCAGTTGGCTCCAGCAATGCAGACAAAAAGCCTTCTCATTGTGAGGTCCCGGGCGATGCCCCGTAGTTTGCGGGGAGGACGAAGAGCCGTGCTACCGCCCAGGCCTGACGCTTGAGGTTGAAGCGCAGCAGGCTGTCGTTTGTGAAAGCGGGAGCTCTTTTTTATCCCTCCACCCTAAATTAAAGCCCTTTGCTCCATGTTGCTCCATGGGCCTGGTCGGTACCTGAAGCCGAGACGCTTAGCTTGCCTATCAACACTCTAAAACATGCGCGAAGTCAAAAGCAGCACAAGGGAGCCCCAAACCTCCCAAACCCCTGAACCCGAAACCCAAAGTTGGGCTAGGGTTCTAAGGGCGTTTCTGAGGGAGTTTCGGGGAGGTTCCGGGTTAGAGAGCATGAAGGCAATGGTTCAAGAGCAATTTAGGGCATATAGGGTTTAGATTTTAAAGGGTTTATAGGGTTGTTCAAGCTCTATAGGCTTTATAGGGTTTAGGGGTGTTCTTGCATTCGAAGCATAAGTCTGCGCAACCCGCCTTGATGCCTCCAAGCATAGCAGAAGCTTCTTCAAACAAGACTCCCCAGCATGGAACCTAACAAAACCTCGTCAAGCTGAACCCTAAACCCTAAACCCCCCCCTGTAATATCCTCATGCCCGAAAACCTATTCAGGACTTTTAGCCCTAAAGATTTCGGGCCCCAATGCCAAAGCCCCACAAGTTCTGCAGCTGCGGGGTTCAGGGTTTAAGGGTTTGTAGGGTTTGCAAGGATCATGTTTAGGGTGGGCCACAGGTTACGACGCTGAGGGCAACCATCTCCCTCCGGAGGAGACCTGTGAGCCTCAGCAGAACTTTGCGGGTTTCGGGCCTGAGAAACCTTCAGCCGCCCTAAACCCTAAACCATAAATCCTCGTATGCTGTAAGGCTTAGGGTGCTTGGGCTTGGACGTTCTTATGAATTTCGGCGAACCTGGGATGTTCATTGGGCTCATACAAATCCTAGAGTTGGGGTCATATTGCAGCGCACGCCCTAAACGCTAACCGGCCACCCAAGTAGCCCCAAAGGCATTTTTAGGAAGTACTTGGCACTGGCACCCTGTGGATGCCTGTCGACAGGAGTGATGCCAGAGAAGTTTCCTCAGCAATGATAGCCAGGTCTGCATGAGAAGGCTGCACCTAAATGTGCTCATGCTGCATCTTTGCGAGCAAGAGAGGGATGATGTAGGTGAGATGTCCTGGTTGCCGGTTTCAAGATGTCGCCGTAAACTCCTTTTACACGAAGTTCGTATATTAACGACCCTCGCCCTCTCAATCCAATCCAAGATGTGGGTCTGATATGGGTCTGAGGGTTTGGGCCCCAAGGATACCTCAAGCTCAGGTGCGAAAAGGACTCACGTGCGGCTGCGGGCAAAACTCATTTGCATGCGACACCGCGGCTTGGCCCAGACACGGTTGAGGTTTAGGGTTCAGGGTTTATGGGGTAGGTTTAGGGTTTGGGGTTTGGCAACTTAGGGTTTCGGGTGGAAAGTTTACGAAGTTCACAGTTATCGAATCGACAGCTCGCTGCCAAGGACGGAAACCTCACCCAATGTCTCCCCATTATCGGAGGTGCTTTGGGCAAGACTGAGTTTGTTGAACCAACTTGGCAGTTTGTGAGTCATGCTGCGGCTTCGGAAGTCTCAGCTATCCATCTTCAACTGTGTGGCAGGATACTGCCCGCAGTGCCTGGCTGGTGAAGTTGAGTGCCCACATGTACTCAATTTCCAGCCAAATGGCACCCAAGTGGAGGGCGGCCCGCCTGCAAGTCAAGTTCCCTCTCTAAAGTAAAGCCCCCTAAACCTGGCCGTAAACCCAAAAAACCCTCAATCTGAAGCCCAAGTACTGATAGCCCGAAGTTGCTCAGTGGCGAGGGTTCGGGGATGGATTCAAAGCTGCTTCGTATAGGGCTTTAATTTTAGGATACTTCCAATAATCTACGACCCAAACTAGGGAGCATTTAAAGGGGTATTCCTTTACAAGGAGGCTTGGGGACCGCGATGAGTTTAGGGCTTAGGGGGTTTGGGGGTTTAGGGCTTAGGGTTTTTCGGGGAACCAGAGCCTTCTAAGCGAGAGTGGCCCAGAGAGTGGAGGTTGGGTCGAGCCCATCCGCAATTGCGCCAGCAGCCTGCTGGACTGCCCCTGCGGGCGGGAAGCGCAGATGTGCGACTCCCTGGGACGCTGCATCTTCAAGGTGCACAAAGTGACGGGGCCAGATGAACCCTTAAGGCATATGAAGTATAATTTTTTGGGTTTGGTCCTCAAAGTAGGGGAAGCGACCCCGGCCTATGTACCCCGTGTACAGCTGGGCATCTCATTCCCAGAAACCCATGGCCTAGTCTTGTCTAAGCACCCGAGCCGTCCCTTGGGGTGCCTGTTTGGAGAGCTGCTGAGCTTCAAGCAAGAGAGAGAGAGAGAGAGAGAGAGAGTTTGTGAACGCAGGTGCGCAGCAAGCAAGCAAGCAAGTTTGTGAACGCTTTGGGCCGTCTGCTAGTCACTGATCACCCTTTTGCCTGCCCTCTATCCACTTCGAAGGGTGCTGCCTGCTGCATGTACGACCAGAAGCTCTGCGTGCTGACGGACTACATGCCTGATGGCCATCTGACAGGCGCGCGGCCGGTGCGTAAGAAGCCTTGAAGTGATGCGCTGATCATAGCAGAATGGTTTCAAGCAGGTGTACAGCCCACAGTGCCTACACCCCTCTACACTCCTTTCGAGAAACATCCCCAGGTTACCGGGAGATCTGCTGGCTGCTGACAGAACCATGTCCCTGTGGGGCCAATACACACCGCTGTCCCGGAACGGAAGTCTGCTTGCCCGAGCTTCCCGGCTTAACTCGAAGGCCACAACTCCAAGTGGGGTTTTCGGAAAAAAAGGAGGGGGGAGTTCTGTATATGTTACATGTTTTAAATTTGTGGGGCGGTGTCCCATAAGGGCCGCAGTATTTTGCGGTATTTTGGGGGGTACCCCCCGTATGTTCGACACTGCCGGACAGTGCAACTGTTAAATGGATGTTCAGGTTTGAACACACCCCATCAACGCAATACAGCGGATGTTCAGGTTTCAGGCTATATAATTAGTAGATTTTGAGGTTTCAGTACAAGGCATACACGGCAGTGTTGCTCTATAGGGATTTCGGACCCAAGACGCGGGAGAAGGGGTGACGCAGCTGCATCCCTGCACGCCGGCCCCCCGTCCCGCCGCGCCCGCCGCGCCCGCATTCCAGTACAGCCAGCTGCATCCGTGGATGGATTTGCCTGTACCCACCTTTACCGTAATATTGCCCGCAGTGTTCAGGGCACGGGTACCCCCTCCCCCCCCCCCCCGACCTTTCAATCCGCAAAAATAATTTGAGACACTCCTCATCCTCTCAGACCTCCAAGGCAGACGGGACTCTTCCATTTTGGTGCCCTTTTTTGCAGGCGTCTCCTACAAGGGAGTTAGGATTTGGAGCTTCAAGGTGTAGGACTTAGGGCTTTGCGTTGCGATGGGTTGTTGGTGGTAGGCTGTCGTGATGCATGGGCTTGTGCTGTTTCACCCTAAACCCTAAACCCTGTGGCTGGTTGGACATGAGGGGTTGGTCGAATCAACGAAGGTCGATCAAGGAAGCGATTTGCCCTTGCGACCCATGGCATCTCGGCACACACAAAGGTTAGGGTTTAGGGTTTAGGGTGGCATTTTCAGGATGGGGTGCCGAAGTCTTGTGGACCATAAATGCGCCCCCCCCCCCCCCAAAGCATCAGAAGCTGTTTCGCCCGCGCATTTTTCTGGGGGCTAAAGGCTTCCCATTTGGGATACTTGGAGGTGCATGGGACTTAAGAACCACTTGTAACTGGGCTTATAACCCGGCTTAGAATTGGTATAACTGCTAAACCCGAGGTACCACTGTTAGAGTCTGTGCTGCCACAGTCTTGTTTGCTCACCTAAGGTGCTGTTTTGGTTTCACTAAGGAAATGACACTCCGCCAGCCCACGAGTGCTCAAAACGGCTTTTGTGAGCTTTCGCATGCTAGCGGAGCTGGTTCGCGCGCCAGTCTGCTTGTGAGAAAGGTTGTGAGAAAGGCGACCCCGAGCCTGTGTCGGGGAACTCTGTGCCCACCTGTGAATGGGAGGGGAAAACCCACCTGTGAGTGGGAGCCACCGCCGAAGAGCGGTGAGGAAGACAGTCAGGGACCAACCTAGCCCCAGGGTGGTTCCGTCGGATCGAGGGCATCCGAAGGGCAGAAGAAATTCCAGGCCTTCGTAGTGAAGAAGCGCTGCTGCGCCGAGCCGAAGCAAGGAGAGCCCAAAAAGGAAGGAAGGGGTCAAAAGGAAAGGGAAGAAATCCCACTGGGCCCCTGCCCAAAGAGAAGGGGGTGTCTCGAGCAAGGGGAAGGGTAACCACAAGCCGAAGAAGGCTGGTCCCCTTACACCACCAGAGCACCTATCTGAATTCTGCCTGGGCAAAGGCACAAGCTGAGAGACGTCGGGCATCGTCGGCTGGGGACGCATCGTCTGACGAAGAAGTGGAAGTGAGTGTGGAATCGGACACAGAGCCTGTGGTCCTAAGGAAAAGGGCACCGAAAGCAAAACCCAGACCAGCCGGAGCAAAGAGAAACCGGGGCATGGTGGACTCAGGTGCGTGCGCGAGCGTTACCTACTCGGGAGCGCTTGGCGCGAGAGTCGACCCAAAGAAGGGGAAGCGCCCTTACGCGGTCGAAGGAACTCCATTGAGAGTGGAGGGGGAACAGACAGTGCCGCTGAAACCCCAGGGATTGGGGTAGTGCCACTGGAAATGACGGTGACAAACTCGAACGAGTCAATCGTCTGCGTGGCAGAAGCGTTGGACGGTGGGCTTGATGTTCACTTTACCCAAAAGGGATGCTACGTGGAGGAGGATGGAACCGGGGCGCGGTCAGCGCTCCAACATGTGGGTAAAAGGTTTTACCTCAGTGCTGTGGAGGCCAGTGAGCAGGAACCAGTGTCCGAGAAGGGGGCGAGGAAATCCAACTGCAGAGTTGGAGCAGTGGGTGACGAGGCGCGTGACCTCGAAGCCGAAGAGGTTGAAGAAGCAGCCCTGGAAAGGATGCGAGGGGGCATCGTGTCCGAGGATGAGGCCGAGGGTGGCCGAGAGATTCCTCAACCGGACAGACCATTTGAGGGTGTGGAGATTCCAGAATGGGTCCGAGAGATCTCAGAAGACGAGGCAGCAAACCGCGAGTGGGATTACCTGAATACCTGCCAGTGCAACTCGAAACACGAGAGGGCCGAGACGACGCCGGTGATCAAGTGTGACTAGTTGTTCTTATCAAGGGACGGAGTCCTTGTGGAAGAGCAAAGCAGACTAGCCACCGTGTTTGTGGCAGTGGACTGCGAGACAGGATGCCCACTGGCATTGCAAGTGCCGAAGAAGGGTGGGAGGCCTATGTGGTTAGGTGTCTTGAAGTCTGGGTGAACAACGTGCTAGGACACAGAAAGTTGGTGACCCAAGCAGACCCAGAGAACTCCACAAAGAGCCTGCTCACCATGTTCCAAGAGAAGCTGGGAGTTGAAAGGGTGACTACGAGATTTTCGCCGCGAGAGTCTCACCCGTCGCTGGGTGAGGCAGAGTCCATGAATGGACGCATAGCGTGCAGCCATGGTGGGGACGTGGCTGGTGGAACTCAACCTCAAGTGCGAAGGAATTGGGGTGAACCGTGTTCTGCTTGCGTGGTTGGTAAAGCACGTGAGCTGGCTGAGCCGGAGGAAGTCCAGAAGGAGTTCGAGGGCTGTGACTTCAAAGAGGTCGTGTGGCAACTTGACGCCAACCTGTATGGCAGGAGACCAGCAGGGTGTGCCTACAGAGATAGGCTGGCTGAGACTGTGACCGAGAACCTCAAGAAGCACGGTGGGAAACTGCGATGCCACTGTCTTCAGGTGTAAGAAGACTGGGGTGGTATTCCTCCACCACGTGGACGACTTCAATATAACGGGGCCAGACGAGTGGCTCGACAAGTTCTTTGAGGATGGACTGAACCACTACTTGAAACCAAAAGTGGGTCCAACAAAAAATGTTGGAGATAGGATTGGGTGGAGACAAGCTCATGCTTTCATCACGCGATCTGACTCCAAGCGTATCAACACGATCCTGTCGTTGCTTCATTTGGAAGAAGCGAAGGAAGTCGGTTCACCAGGAAGAAAGCTGGAACTGACTGAGGAAAACAAGCAACTTTTGCCCGAGGACCGAGCATCCGTGTACCGAAGTGCCGTTGGTTGTGCCATGTACCTGGCGCAAGACACGAGGGATATAGGGTTCGCAGCTAAAGAGCTGGCGAGGCGGCGAGACACCTACAGAAGCCAAGGTACACGTGACCTGGTGAGTGTGGCGCAAGTGAGACCAGGCGAAGACCCACCTGGAGAGTGGAGGCTCGAGGCCTACGTGGACTCAGAAACCCGAAAGAGCACAGGAGGTGAAGTCTACACTCTGCGCAGGGCTGAAATCGACTCGTGCGTTCAGACGCAGCCCGGAGTACCAACAAGCTCTGGAGAAGCAGAGTACCGAGTCATGGTAAGGGGGGCGCAACACTTGACGTTCCTCCAAAACCTGTGTGTTCATGACTTTGGCGTGGGAGTTCTGATCCCGAAGATGTGGACAGACTCGAGTGCCGCACTCCAACTGTCAAAGAGACTTGGATTATGGAACATCGACGTGACAGCAGTGACCGCCCGAGAAATCAAAGTGGCAACAATGACAATTGGCTGCGAATGGAAGCCAAGACTGCCAATGGTAGCTGTGACGACCTGCATGGCTGCAGCGATCACACTACAAGGATGTACAAATGAGCCCAATACACAAGAAGGAGGCGATGCGCAAGGAGCAGCTGCAGCAGCGCAACCAGCAGCAGCGCGACAAGCAATGCTCAACGCACAAGAAGCATTGGGGTGCAGTCTCAGACTACATTCACCAGACACAGAGCTACGCCGCGCTTTCAGCCACTGCCTGAGCAGGCACACGGGGCATGGCGAGACTGTGCCGAAAGCTCAGCAAGGACAGGTATTGAGAATTGGGCTTGAGCCGGCTAGGAGGGTGAAAGCACTGCGTAACACGGGGTGGGGGGGCTAAACCCGACCCGTAGGTACCACTGTTGGAGTATGTGCTGCCACAGTCTTGTTTGCTCACCTAAGGTGCTGTTTTGGTTTCACTTAAGGAAACGACGCTCCGCAAGCCCACGACTTTTGTGAGCTTAACCCCCATAAGGCCCTTTAGGGGTATTATCAGTAGGGTTAGAAGCCCACTTATAAGTGGTTATTAAGTCCCATGAATCCCATGAACCTTCAAGTAAGGGCTGAGGAGTTGGTCTCACTTGGGGTTCAGAATGTTTTGGAAGGCTTTCAGGCCCCGGCTCTCCTTCGTGAGGGCCGTGAGGGATGAGGGGTCACCGGTAGAAGGAATTGCGAAAAGGCCCTTGGGCGGTGCCGGGTGTACTAGCGTCACAGAAGGGCTTCCAAATTACGTACGGGCCCACGCTGCAGGTCCTTGTAGCTGCCCCAAGATGTACAACCCAGGACCTCCTTCAAAAGCAACGGGCGTTCCGAGCGCCTTTTCGAAACCCTCTTAAACCGAAGACCTGAACCCTAAACCCCCTACCCGGCCACTACCCCGAAATCCTAGACCCCATCCCTGAAAGCAGAGGCAGAAGACCTGCGAGCTGACGGAGTACAGTGAGACAGGCCTCCATACCAGTGTTGCGTACGAAGCTGTCCGAATGTGCCACAGTTGTGGTGGGACCTTCGGGTTTGGGATTTAGGGTTTAGGATTTGGTTTTGGGGTTTCTCCGAGTAGGATTGGTTGGAAGTGGCGGGAACCCCCTGATTAGAGGGCTTGTGCAGGTGTGCCGGAGACAAGCTGGAAGTTGTGCGTGGACCAAGAGAAGCCATGCCCGTGTGGTCGAAACTCGTTGCTCACCTGCAGATTTTGCACCTCAATCTGCATTTCAAACCTGCGCCCGAACGAACACCCTAATTGGACTTTTCATTGCAGTCCCTGTCGGTACGCCGAGCGCGCGCCCCGGAGGCTGCGCTGCCTGGACCCATTGGCCCAGTCCTTACATCCTGGAACTTCAGGGCTTTTGGGGGGTTTAGGCTTGAGAGATTTAGGGTTCAGGGTCAGGGTTCAGGAAAGGTGTTTTGGTGGGGCTCAAGGGGGGGGGGGGGTCGGGTTTTTTTCTCCACTTTTTTTCTCTCAGGTGTGGCGCGTTTTTTTTTTTTTCCTTGTGTGGCGGGAATCCCTTTTTTTGTGGTGCTTTTTTTTCTTGGTTTTTCCACACGTATACCCGGCGGAGGCGGCGTTTTTTTCCTAGGTGTGGCGGGATGTTTTTCCTAGCTGTGGCGGGACTTGGTGGTCCCGTGGTCCCGTAGTCCTCCGGTCTCGTGGTCCTCCGGTCTGGTGGCCCTGTGGTCCCGTGGTCCTGTGGTCTTGTGGTCCCGTGGTCCCGCGGTCCCAGAATCCCGTCCTGCACGCTTATACCTCTGAGCCGCCAACACTATCATTTCGAATCTTAAAAACGGATCGGCCCCCCCCCCCCCAACCCCCCGTTGTGAAGCCGTGCAAGCGTGCTTCATAGCATGTGATTCTTGTTGAAACCCATCATGCAAGCATTGTGTTTGCACAGGCGGGGGGTCCGCGGCCCCCCTAACCCCCACGTTTTTTCCCCAAACAGAATCGTTTGGGGTTCTCTCCTCAGAAAAAAGGTGGGCCGCAGTGGCTGGATGGGTGGGCCGCGGCAACGGGGCTGGGCTCCCATTGGGCTCCCTTCATGTCTCCTTTCTGGGCTCCTGGGTCGGATGGGTGGGCCGCAGCAACGGGGCTGGGCTCCCATTGTTCATGTTTCCTTTCTGGGCTCCTGGGTCGGATGGGTGGGCCGCGGCAACGGGGCTAGGCTCCCATTGGGCTCCCTTCATGTTTCCTTTCTGGGCTCCTGGGTCGGATGGGTGGGCCGCGGCAACGGGGCTGGGCTTTTATTGGGCTCCCTTCATGTTTCCTTTCTGGGCTCCTGGGCCGCAGAGTCGGATGGGCGGGCCGCGGCAACACGGCTGGGTTTCTTATTGGATTCCCTTCGCATTTTTGCTTCTGGGTCGGATGGGTGGTGGGTGGGCCGCGGCAACGGGGCTGGGCTTCCATTGAGCTCCCTTCATGTTTCCTTTCTGGGTGGGCCGCGGCAACGGGGCTGGGCTCCCATTGGGCTCCCTTCATGTTTCCTTTCGGATGGGTGGGCCGCGGCAACGGGGCCGGGGTTCCATTGGGCTCCCTTCATGTTTCCTTTCTGGGCTCCTTGGTCGGATGGGTGACGGGGCTGGGCTCCCATTGGGCTCCCTTCATGTTTCCTTTCTAGGCTCCTGGGTCGGATGGGTGGGCCGCGTCAACGGGGCTGGACTCCCATTGGGCTCCCTTCATGTTTCCTTTCGGATGGGTGGGCCACGGCAACGGGGCTGGGCGCCCATTGGGCTCCCTTCATGTTTCCTTTCTGGGCTTCGGGGTCGGATGCGTGGGCCGCGCCAACGGGGCTGGGCTCCCATTGGGCTCCCTTCATGTTTTCTTTCTGGCCTCCTTGGGTCGGCTCCCTTCACGTTTCCTTCTGGGTGGGATGGGTGGGCCGCGGCAACGGGGCTGGGCTCGCATTGGTCCCCTTCATGTTTCCTTTCTGGGCTCCTGGGTCGGATGGGTGGGCCGCGGCAACGGGGCTGGGCTTTTATTGGGCTCCCTTCATGTTTCCTTTCTGGGCTCCTGGGCCGCAGAGTCGGATGGGCGGGCCGCGGCAACACGGCTGGGTTTCTTATTGGATTCCCTTCGCATTTTTGCTTCTGGGTCGGATGGGTGGGCTGGGTCGGATGGGTGGGCCGCGGCGCCGGGCTGCTGGGCTCCCATTGGGCTCCCTTCATGTTTCCTTTCTGGGCTCCTGGGTCGGATGGGTGGGTGGCGGCAACAGGGCTGGGCTCGCGTTGGGCTCCCTTTGTGCTTTGGATGGGTGGGCCGCGGCAACGGGGCTGGCTCCAGCCCAGAAAGGAAAGATACGGGGCTGGGCTCCCATTGGGCTCCCTTCATGTTTCCTTTCTGGGCTCCAGGGTCGGATGGGTGGGCCGCGGCAACGGGCGCTTTCCGCTTGTGGATTTCACAGACCAGGCCTATCAGACCTGGTGCCCAGAGGTTCCTGCAAGCAAGTCAATGGTCAGTCAAAAAAAATCGGGCAACTCTCCCGCCTTTTCAACAGAAGAACCTTGCGGCACTGGCAGGATCCTTGCCTGTGTATGTGAAGCATCTCTTCGTACGTCGTGTAAGTTATACCTGCAAACAATTCTGGATTGTTTACTCAGAAAAAACTCATATTGCTGCAGTGCAGCAGTGTGGCAACAATCCTGACAATCCTGCAACTGAAGGTAGATAGTGTGCCAAAACTTTGTGTTTTTGTACCCAAGAGCTTTGAGAGCTTTGAAGCCAGCAGAACTGGACTAACCCCTTCAGGCTCTAAGCAAAGCGCGAAGATAACAGAAAATCAGCCTTCAGGCTTCAGGCCAAGCGCGAAGCCAAAGAGCTTCAATCAGGCTTCAGGTGTTGTAACAGTTGCGGGAAAGTTTTTTTCCGCGTGTGGTGTGTAAAGAAGTAGGCTTTTTGTTTTCCTTTGTGAAAGCTCATCTGTGCGTTTCCACAGACGTACGCAGCTAGGTATCCTTTCTCACAATGCGGCAGTGTTGTAACAGTTGCGGGAGAAATGTGCATTTTTCCCGCGCGTGGTGTGTGCGGCAGCAAGATCCTGTGCAAGAGGCCCTGCGTTCGGTCAGAAAAAATCGTCAACGGTTCCGTGCAAAGAAGGGTTTTTGTTTCCTTTGTAAACGCTCCTTTGTGCTTTCCACAAGCGTATGCAGCTAGGTATCCTGTCTCGCAATGCGGCAGTGTTGTAACAGTTGCGGGAGAAATGAGCATTTTTCCCGCGCGTGGTGTGTGCGGCAGCAAGATCCTGTGCAAGAGGCCCTGCGTGCGGTCTGCGGAAAAAATCGTCAACGGTTCCGTGTAAAGAAGGCTGTTTGTTTCCCTTGTAAACGCTCATTTGTGCTTTTTCCACAAACGTATGCAGCAAGGTATCCTGTCTCGCAATGCGCCAGTGTTGTAACAGTTGCGGGAGAAATGTACATTTTTCCCGCGCGTGGTGTGTGCGGCAGCAAGAACCTGTGCAAGATGCCCTGCGTTCGGTCTGCGGAAAAAATCGTCAACGGTTCCGTGTCAAGAAGGCCTTTTGTTTGCTTTGAAAAAGCTTATTTGTGCTTTTTCCACAAACGTATGCAGCTAGGTATCCTGTCTCGCAACGCGGCAGTGTTGTAACAGTTGCGGGAGAAATGAGCATTTTTCCCGGGCGTGGTGTGTGCGGCAGCAGGATCCTGTGCAAGAGACCTTGCGTTCGGTCTGCGGAAAAACTCGTCAACGGTTCCGTGTAAAGAAGGCCTTTTGTTTCCTTTGTAAAAGCTCATTTTTTTTAGAAACGTATGCAGCTAGGTCGGATCAGCAGCTAGGTATCCTGTCTCGCAACGCGGCAGTGTTGTAACAGTTGCAGGAGAAATGTGCATTTTTCCCGCGCGTGGTGTGTGCGGCAGCAAGATCCTGTGCAAGAGGCCCTGCGTTCGGTCTGCGGAAAGAATCGTCAACGGTTCCGTGTAAAGAAGGCTTTTTGTTTCTTTTGTAAACGCTCACATTTGTGCTTTTTCCACAATCGTATGCAGCTAGGTATCCTGTCTCGCAATGCGGCAGTGTTGTAACAGTTGCGGGAGAAATCAGCATTTTTCCCGCGCTTCTGCGGCAGCAAGATCCTGTGCAAGAGGCCCTGCGTTCGGTCTGCGGAAAAACTCATCATCGGTTCCGTTTAAAGAAGTCTTTTTGTTTCCTTTGTAGAAGCTCATTTGTGCTTTTTCCACAAACGTATGCAGCTAGGCATATATCCTGTCCTGGAATGCGGCAGTGTTGTAACAGTTGCGGGAGAAATGTGCATTTTTCCCGCGCGTGGTGTGTGCGGCAACAAAATCCTGTGCAAGAGGCCCTGCGTCAGGTCTGCGGATAAAATCGCCAAAAGTTCCGTTGCGGCAACAAGATTCTGTGCAGCAGGCCCTTCGTTTCGTGTGCGGGAACAAAATCGCCAGCGGTTCCGTGTAAAGAAGACTTTTTGTTTGGTCTGTAAAAGCTCATTGTACTTTTTCCACAAACATATGCAACCAAGTATCCTGTCTCGCACTGCGGCAATGTTGTAACAGTTGCGACTGTTGCGGGAGAAATGTGATTTTTTCCGCGCGTGGTGGCAGCAAGATCCTGTGCAGGAGGCTCTTCGTTCGGTCTGCGGATAAAATCGCCAACGGTTCCGTTGCGGCAGCAAGATCCTGTGCAGCAGGCCATAGCAGGCCCTTCGTTTCGTCTGCGCGAACAATCGCCAAGGGTTCCGTGTAAAGAAGGGTTTTTGTTTGCTTTGTATATAAATGCTCATTTGTGCTTTTTCCACAGACGTATGCAGCCAGGTATCTCGTCTCGCAACACGGCAATGTTGTAACAGTTGCGGGAGACACGTGCTTTCTTTCGCGCGTCGTGTGTGCGGCAGCAAGATCCTCTGCAGGAGGCCCTTGTGCAGGAGGTTCTTCACTCGGTCTGCGGAACAATCGTCAATGCTTCCGTGTACAGAGAGCTTGTTCTTTGCCTTATAAGCCAACAAATCCCTTCCTGCTTCTTTTGCCAAATATTCGCGGCAAAGTTCCCACTTTTTCCCGTGCGACAGCCAGCCGAACCGAATACTAAGCTCATTTGCGTTTTTCCACAAGAGTCTGAAGCAAAGGCCGCAATGCGGCAATGTTGTAGCAGTTGCGGGAAAGTTGTACAGTGTTTCCGTGCGTGGTTTGTGCAGCAGCAAGATCCTGTGCAGGAGGAGGCCCTTCGTTCGTTTTGCGAAAAAAATCGTCAACAGTTCCATGTACACAGAGAGCTTGTTTTTTGCCTTGTAAGCAGACAAATCCCTTCCTGCTTTTTTTGGCCAAATAGTCGCGGCAAAGTTCCGCAGCAAGATCCTGTGCAGTAGGCCCGTCGTTCGGTCTGCGGAAACAATCGTCAACGGTTCCGTGGAAGGAGGTCTTTTTTTGTGTGCTTTGTAAGCCGACAAGTCCCTTCCTGTTGTTTTTTGCCAAATATTGGCGGCAAAGTTCCCACTTTTTTCCCGAGCCGAATACGAAGCTGATTTGTGCTTTTTCCACAAACGTCTGCAGCACGGCCAGGTATCCTGTCTTGCAACGCGGCAATGTTGTAACAATTGCGGGAAAAGTATGTGTTTTTCCCGCGCGTGGTGTGTGCGGCAGCAAGATCCTGTGCAGGAGGCCCTTCGTTCTGCCGAATGCTTAAACATTTTTCGCAGCATCTGCTGGCGAAGCCAGATTGGGTTCCAACGCATTCCATCTTGAACCGGTATGATTCGATGCATTCTGTTTGGGGTCTTCGCTGGTGTAATTTTTTTCAAGCCGTGCAAGCGTGCTCACAGCATGTGATTCTTGTTGAAACCCATCATGCAAACCCAATGGGGGGCTGCGCCCAGCAACAACAACACCAGCCAGAAAAATACGCCACAAAAAGAATCCGCCACACCTAGTGAGAAAAAAACCCGCCACACCTAAGAGAAAAAAAACCGCCACACCTAGGAAGAAATCCCTGCCACACCAAGGACAAGTAGAAAGAAACCTAAGCAAAAGCCCAAAGCCCGCCACACCTACTCGTAGGAGAAAAAAAAAAAGCCCGCCACAACTAGGAAAACAAAACACCTCCGCCCAAGGGGGAGATTTTTGGGGGCTTCCAAGGGGGCTAAAGGTTTTATCGCCTCGTCGGTCTCTTTAGAGTTTATAGAGGAATCGATGCTTTAAGGATGTAGGGCTGGGGTTACAGGTTTGAGGGCTTGTTTCGAGTTTCTCTGGATTCTAAGGATTTTTGGGTTCGTCGGGTTCCGAGGGGAGGGCGTGCTCATGTCCAAGATTTCCCCAGGGCTCCTCGCCAAGGGGGTTGAATATACCAAGGGCTGGCGCTTGTAGGCTTGAAATTCTCGAGAAGAGTGAGCCCCTACCTTTCACAAGCTAGGGCCCCTTTTGAGTGAGGACTCGCCTTTCGAGGTGCTCTTATCCCATGGTCAATCCCATTAAAGGACGTTTAGAACGAGCTCCATGTCTTGCTGATGATCAGCCCGAAAAAGCTGAGGTTACCGGCAGCCCGCTGTTTCTCCTTTAGAACCGCAAGCCCAGACCCTCGAACCACTCAAAGCCCAAGAGAAGGAGCCTAAACCCGACTAAGGAGAACCGAACGACGTGCATCGCAAAGGTAACCAGCCACTGCGCTCGGATTTCAGCCAATACAGGAACCCTAAACAAGCCCGGCACATAGAGAATTTTAGTCAAGGAGTGCGGGGTCTGAGTTCATGGCGAGGCTAATCCTTCAACGACGGGGTTATAACTATGTATATGGGCCAGTACTGACCGAGGTGGGGAGTCAAGAGCCCCATAGAAAGGCCGAGGCGAACGACCGACATGTTCCTTATTTCTACTTCCTCTGACGAAAGAGGTTGGGTTTAGCAACCCTAAACCCGAAACCCCCCTAAACCCCAAACCCAATGCGGGGGAGGCTTTAGTTTGTGCTTGAGGGCTCGGGGCTCGACGGTTTTGGAGGGTGTAGGGATGGGCGTGTGTATGATGTAATCCCCCCCAAACATGACCCCCCCCCCTACCCCCCCCTACCCTTACCCCCCCCTACCCTTGCCCCCCCTGCCCCTCCCCCTCCCCACCCCTACCCCTGCCCCCCCTACCCCCGAATATTAGGGGGAGGGGATTAGGGTCTGAGCTGAACGTGTAGGGTTTTACTTGCGCGGTTCCGCCTCTCAGGCGGAATTGCCAACGCATGCCCCGCGCCGTGTTCCATCAACGACCTGGCTCGAGGAAGCCAGACGTGTGTTCAGAGTCATGGCTGCCCTACGATCAACTCTTTTGAGATACCATAAAACCCGATAAACACTACTCCTCCCTTATCAACCCTTCAATGCAGAGTAGAGTTGGGATGCCTTAGGGGAATTAGAGGCTTGCAGGTAGGCACTAGACGCGTCTGCCGTGATCGCGTTCTTGCTTACAGTGGCCCCTACGGGGTCCACTGAGCTTGCGCTCGAGCTAGCTGCAGGACCTACGATCGGCTCTGGGCCGTATCGACGGTTCGGGTCCTTCACGAGGCCTGCAGGGATTGGCACCTGCTGCGCTTCCTGAAGCTCAAGTTGATGCTGCACCCAGTCATCATACTGGTCGCTTGACGGATCAAGGTCATTCCGCCTCGTTGGCGAACACTCAAGCAACGGATCATAGGGATCATGCGGGCCTAAGAACAACGAGTCATCAAAATCTCGGAAGTCTTCACCCGCGGCAGGGCCGATAAACTCCTGCCCTCCGATACCCCCAACAACTGTATCGTTTCCGAAGGGGTTCGGAATCTCTGACGGATCTGGCGGCGATTCCGTACGCTGCTTGCCCTTCCCGGAACCGACCTTGGAGCCCTCGAAGGGTCTCCAGGAACCATGTCCGAGACGACCTTTGCTGAAGGAGCCCTTTCCGGACTTCCTCCCCTTGCTTCGAGCGGGGCTTCTCCCTCGCTCTTGGGCGGTTGTGGTTGTGACAACCATTGCTGTTGGGACAAAATCCCAAGCACTTCCTGGGGAAATGGCCTCCCCAGGCTCTTCCATCACGGCGGTGATGGACTCACGCAAAACCTCATGCAACGAAGCGTCGCTCACTGGGTCACCTGCGCTAACTAGGCTATTAACCCGGTCTGTAAAGGTACCGAGGATAACCTCTACAGCCTCTGGGTTAAGAGTCGCGGTAGCGTCGTCTGCCATGAGTGCTGACGCGGTGCTTACCGCATCCGCGGTCGCATTCAGCATGCGCTGCGCTGCGGCCTTCCGCTCCTTGTGGAATTCCTGCGGAACTTCGTCAACGAATGTTCCACACTGCAGGCGGAAGGTCTTAGAGGTGCTCTTCGTACTACCTCGCCGATCTACGATCTTGTGCTCACACGCCTCAGGAGTGTTGACATAGACATGCTCGCGCCTCTCTCGGGTTGCGTGACCGCATACCCTGCATGTCTTGCGCACATAATCGGCTGTGATAGGAAAACTCACGACAACCAGCGGCACATGCGGTTGCCAACGGTGGATTTGGCGGCTTCTTCGCTCCACCTTTCGCCTTGGGTCGCGGCACATAGGTTCCCTCAGGGATACCTAGCGACGCTCGCTCCTCAACTTGTCCGGCTTGGATCACGTAGTAGCGGTCGAACCACGTGAGGAAATCCCTAAGCTGCAACGGCGGCTCAGGCTGCGCCTTTGCCCACGTGACGTGAACAGGGATTCGGGCTACCTGGCTATAGGTTTTACCCTTATGCATACCTATGGTAAACTTCCGGTCTCCGCCAGCCATCTCCATTGGTCTGGCGCCTCAACCAGATGCATATCCCGTGCTTGCAGTGGACGGCGTCGGCCAGGGTCGTGGCGTACCCTTAGCCTTCGCGGTTGCGCCGACCATATCGGTCACAACATGTGCGCTTGGCGTTGCGTCATTCCCGGACGGGATGACTACACCATCATCGTCGCTAGAATCGCTGTTGTTGTTCATGATAGCGACGTGGGCCCGGCCCTTGCTGGTCCGGCGCCTTTGCCCTTTCCACCCTGCTGGGTTGGAAACTTGCATTCAGGGTCTCCGGCCCAATGTCCTGTCCCGCCGCAGCGTAGACACTTGGACTTGGCCTTTAGCGCTCTCAGCTTGTCGCGCCTTTCGTCGAGCGTAAGGGAGGAACGCACTACCTTCCCCTTGCTCTTGCCGGAGCCCTTGCGGCCTTTCTTGCCCTTCGCCTTCCCGAACGCGGCATAGGTCGCCAGCTGGAGCTGGATTGCATGACCAGACTTGGGAAGCTCGGCATCTAGCTCTTCTAGGGAATTTAGGGCGACGGCCTCGGCCTCATCGACCTCATAGTCCTCGAACTCGGGGTCCTCATCTGGGTACCCGTCGTCCAGCGCATCGTCGTCATGCTCCTCGTCCCCATAGGCAGGGTACGAGGCTTGCTCGAAGGAAACATTGTAGTCTTCCTCCGGCTCTTCGTCGTGCATGCCTGCGTCTTCATCGATCGCAGGGAAGGCTCGGCGTGTAAAACCCTTACCTTTACCCTTATTCGACCTTTGGTAAGAACCCTTACCGTAACCTGCGGTCGGGCGACCGTGCTGCGCAGGATGAGTTCCACCTAAGGCTCTTCCCTCCTTCAGGTGGACGCCAGTGTAGTGCTCCACAAGGGTAGCACTGACAGCTTCAAAGCTCTTGCTGTCGCTTGTGCACGCTTTTACTACCAGGGCTTCCTGTCTGGATAACCCTGACAGTTCCAGAAGGAGTTCCACTCGCATTGGCTCTGACAGCTCAATGCTGGAATCCAGGCTCTTGAGCAACTTCCACCAGCGCCTGCGGCGACTTATGTATGAAAGCATACTCTCGCCAGATTGCCGCGCCAGTGTTCCTGGTCGCTGGCCTGCTCGGAAGAGCTCTCGAGCTTCTTCCGCGGCACGCGGGAACACAACATTCCGGAGTTTTTCCATGAATGCACGCAAACCTCCGGGCGCGGTAATCTCCTCAATACCTATGTCTCTGGCCAACTCGAAGGCTTCATCCCGAAGTCCTTCCAGCACCTTGTGCACCATCTCAGTTCGCAGCTTGACTGCGTAGGAAGTGGTCTCGTCCATCTGGATCGAGGCTTCACCGGCTTTGCTCTTGATACTGCTCCGGACTGAGTCAGTATCATCGGATGCTGCTCTAGACTTTGCCTTTGGTGCTGCCTCCGACCTTGCCTTGGACCGGCAGCAGGTCTGTCCTCTGAAGGTACAGCTGTGCCATAGTCGGGGTCTGCTTCAGCCTCCTCATCGGATGGCTCAGGCTCGGCTTCCTCGGCCACCTTGGTCCGAGTCTTTGCTCTAACTGCATCTTCATACAGTTTCAGCCTCATCGAGGTCCGAAACGCCCAGTCGTGATACGACTGTGGATCACCACCATAGATGTACGATCCGGATCGGGTCTCTAGTGGAGTACCCCCGGCGGCTCCATGGCGAACAAATCTTAGTCCTGCCACAGACATGGACTAACACAAGGGAAGTACCTCGCAGAGGTCCTGAGTTGTAACCTCTCTCACCAGGCTCGATTGGATATAGGGCTTCTACTTCTACGATTACTACCCGCGTCGTTACTGGGCACGCCCGAGGCCCCAGAGGACCGAGTGGCGTGAGAGAGCTATCAAGGCCGAAGCTTTCCTTGCACAGGCGATGGAGGACAAGAGCAAGATCGAGGAAAGGTTCGTGGAGTTGATGAAGATCAACGTTGACCTGAATGCCAAGGCCGCCGTCGCAGATGCTTGGGACCGGTGGCACTACGGCCCAAGGGACGAAGGGCATGGCCACTCCAGGGACCGGAAGCAGCCGTGGTGCATTCTCGGGTCACCCGACACCGAGACGATCTAGAGCTACGTTGGTGGCGAGCTCGTGGGGACCCCGTCCGGACTCGCAGAGGCCGAGAAGCCGCTCGTCGAGGAGATCGCCGTCGAAGTGGAGCCAGAAGAGGTAGGATGGGAGCGAGATCCACCTCGCCCGGGCCATCAAGGCTGAGGCCCAAGAAGGAGGAGGAAGGCTCTGTCACGGAGGACGAGGCGGACTTCTACGAGCCCATGGATCGGATTCTGGAGGGTACACCGAAGACCCGGATGATGACAAGCCCTGGGCCGAGAATCTCTCCTTTCCCCAGTTGATGGACCTAACTCGGACCATCAGACAGGATTTAACCGCAGACGGTAAATCCGAATTTGAGAAAGACGGCTGGGTAGGTCCCGTGTCACCCAGCGAGCCGAGGGCACGGAACTTGTTGCACAACGTCCGCTATTGGCACAGGCCCCGTGGAGGCGTAGCCCCATGACACGTGTGGGATAGGTCGCTAGATGAGTGGCAAAAGACCATCCTGCTTTTTAAGCAAGGCCACATCACCATCCTTTTGCGTGATGCGCCCATGCAGTATGCATGCCCCGAAATGTTGGAGGATTCGGAGGAGCCGTTTATGGTGCTAGCTAGGCCGCCCCCAAGGTGGAGGCAAGACCTGGGGAATTTGCCTTGCAGCTCAACCTATCAAGGTGAGCGTCAGCCGCCTGGCCAAGGCAAAAGATGCGAAGCGTCGCGCGGTAGGCACTCGAGACCACCGCACCAACGACCTCGCGGAGTGTACAAAGGGGGAGGGCCGGGGCAGTGCTTTGATCTCAACCCGTAGGGTTCCCCGTAATCCTACACCCCCTCGTGCGAGGAAGAGGGCTTATAGTGGTTCAAGTTCCGGTTCGTGTTCGGATTCGGAGACTGGTTCCGGGGAGTCTGGGATGGCAATCACCTCTGAGCCCGGAAACCTGAACCCAACAGCTTCAATGGCAGTCCTCAGCAAAGCTAGAAAGAAGGTGATCACTAGAGGTATTCAGGAACTTAGGGACCACGACCAGGCCCTAAGAAACCTCTTAACCCTGAATGCAATCACCTCACTCCCGAAGAACCCGCACATAGTGGTCTTCACTTGCACCCCTGCCGCCTTCCAGGACCCGATGATCCGCTGCGTGGACATCGGAGCAGGTGCGAAGGGATCTTGGACCCCGAATGGGGCCAAGAAGGTTCTTCAGGAGGTTTCGCCTAGTTTAGTGGTTATAGCAGTATCTTACCCGGAATGGGAAGATGGGCTAAACCATAGCGAACTGATAGATGAGGTTGTTAGTCACTGTTATTTAGCATCTACGGTTTATGTAATGCTAGATAAGGCAGACACAACCCGATGGGCAGAGCAAAGCATCCCGATGTACCCCATCTATGGCCTAGGGGACGCAAGCAACTCTGAAGATGTGCTTGACAGCCTGGAAGGGTG